TCAAAAGAAAGCACTCAAAGGAAGCGAAATATGCATCCAACTCTCTTCAAATTTCACACATACAAACATTTTTGCTAATATAATATCTGTTGTGAAGATGAAATATATATGCGAATGCCGCATTCTCAAGGGCTCACAATTTTCAATACTTGCAAAAAAATTCAGCGATTTTTTACAACTTTCTCTCAACCAGAAATCTGAGATGAATATGGAATTTATGATTTCGCACACCAATATTTTTATCTGTATAAATGAAGCATGAAAACGGAATCGTTCGGTCGACTATACCTGGTATCTCACCACATGTTAACATTTTCTTAAAATATTTACATAAGCAGTAAGTTCGGCCGGGCCGAACTTTGAATACCCTTCACCATTTGGAACGAAATTGGAAATAAAATCCTGAAAAAAACTTTGGTAAAATTTTAAAAATACCGAATATTGCCCTTATATTTGTGCCTATCCGAAGTCGACCCACACAGGCATTATTTGTCATGAGTCATTACCAAATTCAAATTCGGAACTTGAAATAAACGCGAATAATGTAGCTAAAATCATCAAAGTATAGAATATAGGGAGGTACCGTTTCATCGGAGCTGTGCGAAGACCTGAACCTGCGTAGACAATTTTTTGCCATATACTGTAGCATCCATTACGTTACGACATTTCAAACAACTTCGGTGAGTATTGTACCTAAACTCGTCAAAATACCGAATATAGGGAGGTACTGGTATATGGGGCATATACGAAGACGTGGAACTGCATAGACAATTTTCTGTCACAGACTGGAGTTTCCATTACGAACTCTAAATGCGTAATTTGAAAAAATTTTGGTGAATAACGACGCTAAAATCACCAAAATACCGAATATAGGGAGGTACCGTTATATGGTGGCTATACGAAGACGTGGACCTGCACAAACAATTTTCTGTCTTAGGCTGTAGTATCCATTTTGAACTTCAAATACCAAATTTGAAACAATTTCGGTGAATAGTGTCGCTAAAATGATCAAAATGCCGAATATCGGGAGGTACCGTTATATAGGGGCTATATGAAAACGTGGACCTACATGGCCCATTTACGAACTTAACCTGCCTACTGTAAAAATAAACCTGTGTGCAATATTTTAGCCTTGTATCTCTATTCGTTCGAAAGATAGCGTGATTACAACAGACGGACAGACAGACGGACATCGCTAAATCGACTTAGAATTTTACGCTGATCAAGAATATATATACTTTGTTGGGTCTGACATGAGTATTTCGAGGAGTTACAAACGGAATGACAAAGTTAATATACCCTCCATAGCATGGTGGAGGGTATTAAAATGACTGTTGATTGTGGCAGTCGTTTATTATTACAATTTTGCCGGCAAATTCCGCTCGAATGTCGTTAAAGGAGACCATAGAAGTTATACTGTCGATTTCCACCCACAAAAAAAAAAACTTTAAATAGAGCGAGAATTGAGCAGCAAATTGAAGCTGTTGGCATTTACGGCGGTGAATTACTCACGATGATATTTCACAATGACAACATTCACACAAGCCATACCAATCGAGCTGTCTAATAACCAACCAACCGCAATTTGTTTCTCTTTACACAACAGTGACGCACCATCAGCGCGGCACAACATGTAACTGAAGAGTGCTTTCAAAGCTACATTGAGTACAACCAACCAATGTGACGTAACATATTCATACCCACATAAAGCCAAACTCGAGTAAATGGTGTGCTGTGCAATAATTGAACGAAATGTAAAATGCTCTCTAAAATGTATGGCACAGTGTTTTTGCTTAGCAGCATTCATTTTAGTTCGATCAACTTAAAATTTGATAGCAGTTGAACAGTTGACATTTTCTACTAAAATGTAGTATGATTGCAATACCTTGTAATGAGTTGTCCAGCTCATATGGCCGATCCATCTATTTTTTGAATATACAGGGTGAGATGCAAAAACTGCAACCAACTTCAGACTGCTGTCATTTCTAAGCCACTCGTCCGACAGCTGTTAAAATTATTCCCGTTACAGCTCATTACAAAAGCATTTTAGTGAGAATTTTTCAGAAAAAAGAATTTAAGCGTGATAGTGTGATTTCTTTATATTTGGCTGGAAAACCTTAAGTGGAATTTGGTTTTCTCCGATGAGAAAATATTCGTTATCCAGCAGTTTGTGAACAAACAAAATGATGGTGTTTACTTACCAAAGAGGTCAGCTGAAAATGTGCACCTTCGGTTGGCCACCAGAACTCAAGCGCCGGACATGGTGATGGTGTGGGCCCCCATAACAGCCGATGGTCGCTCTCCGCTCGTATTAATCGACCGACCGTTAGAATAAATGCCGAGTATTATCTCCAAAATATTCTGGAGGGTGTATCTGGCTGGATGGTCGCACGATAACTCTCAAAGGGAGTATCCGATTTGATCCAAACTTGGTAAATCGTAATATTTTTGTCAAACTTAGATCGAGTTCGGAGATGGGCGATATCAGTCCACTCCTTCTGGTACCTCCCCCACAAAATTTCAACATTTTAATAGAAAATAATTTAGATCAAGAAAGGATCATTCGACTTTTATCAAACTTTGCAAATGCCAATATTTTTGCCAGTGCTGGTTCAATTGTGAAAAAGGGTCAAATTTTTGAATAGTTATAACTTTTATAAAAACTGACGTAAGAGTCCGATTGCATTCGAATTACACACATAACAATATTTTTATTAACCCAAGGTCTGGAGTAAAGATGGAATATATCGATCCACTCCTTTTGGTACCTCTCCCACAACGGGTCAAAATTTTGAATATCCATGAACCTCATAAAACGCGAAATTAACATACAACTCCATCATCTCAATATTTCTATCCACACAAGATCTGTTATAAAGATGGTAGAGATCGGACAATTTCTTCTGATACCTCCCCAAATAGGTTTCAAAATTTTCAAAAGAAAGCATTCAAAGAAAGCGAAATATGCATCCAACTTTCTTCAAATTTCACACACACACCAACATTTTTGCTAACATAGGATCTGTTGTGAAGATGACATATATATGCGAATGCCGCATTCTCAAGGGCTCACAATTTTCAATACTTGCAAAAAAGTCAGCGATTTTTTACAACTTTCTCTCAACCAGAAATCTGAGATGAATATGGAATTTATGATTACCCACACCAATATTTTTATCTGTATAAAATGAAGCATGAAAACGGAATCGATCGGTCGACTATACCTGGTACCTTACACACATGTTAACATTTTCTTAAAATTATTACATATCTCATAAAAAACAAGTTAAAAAGCAGTAAGTTCGGCCGGGCCGAACTTTGAATACCCTCCACGATTTGGAACGAAATTGGAAATAAAATCCTGAAAAAAAAACTTTGGTAAAATTTTAAAAATACCGAATATTGCCGTTATATTGGTGACTATCCGACGTGGACCCACACAGGCATTATTTGTCATGAGTCATTACCAAATTCAAATTCGGAACTTGAAATAAACTCGAATAATGTAGCTAAAATCATCAAAGTATAGTATATAGGGAGGTACCGTTACATCGGAGCTGTGCGAAGACCTGAACCTGCGTAGACAATTTTTTTGTCATATTCTGTAGCATCCATTACGAACTTCAAATACGACATTTCAAACAACTTCGGTGAGTATTGTACCTAAACTCGTCAAAATACCGAATATAGGGAGGTACTGGTATATGGGGCATATACGAAGACGTGGACCTGCATAGACAATTTTTTGTCACAGACTCGAGTTTCCATTACGAACTCTAAATGCGTAATTTGAAAAAATTTTGGTGAATAACGACGCTAAAATCACCAAAATACCGAATATAGGGAGGTACCGTTATATGGGGGCTATACGAAGACGTGGACCTGCACAAACAATTTTGTGTCTTAGGCTGTAGTATCCATTTTGAACTTCAAATACCAAATTTGAAACAATTTCGGTGAATAGTGTCGCTAAAATGATCAAAATGCCGAATATCGGGAGGTACCGTTATATACTGGCTATATGAAAACGTGGACCTACATGGCCCATTTACGAACATAACCTGCCTACTGTAAAAATAAACCTGTGTGCAATATTTTAGCCTTATATCTCAATTCGTTCGAAAGATAGCGTGATTACAACAGACAGACAGACGGACATCGCTAAATCGACTTAGAATTTTACGCTGATCAAGAATATATATACTTTGTTGGGTCTGACATGAGTATTTCGAGGAGTTACAAACGGAATGACAAAGTCAATGTACCCTCCATAGTTTGGTGGAAGGTCATCATACGAAATGGACAATAATAGCCCATTCTTTCGGAACCTACTCCATAGAGGATCAACAAGTTTTTTTTTGCATTTAATGTCCAAACATTAACAACTTATTTCGGGCGACATATCCTTGCTAAAGAAATGGGTTAGTAGGTTGATTTGGAAGTAGTTACGATTGTCAAAAAAAATGGTTAGGAAGCTCGTTATTTGGTATTGGAAGTTTTTGTTGAGATCCGTATTAGCTTGAGTTTATGTCACGGAAAATGAGGCGTCCTAGCTGTTGCGCATTTGAAAACTAACCTAACCTAAACTACTGTGCCCCAATACTATGTAAGCGCGTTTCGAAATCGTATACATACACGTATGTGTTTGTACATTTGCTGGGTTAGGTCTGTGACATAATCGTCGTCGTGTCGTACGCCAGCAACAACAGTAACATTGCGAGTATGAGTAAAGCCATAGTAACTCATTGACGCCAACCAGCCAACTAACCCATCACAAGCAACAAATACTAGCAAAAGCGTATCCCCACATGTTTGGACGAAAGAGAACCTAAGAGATTTCTTGACAGTGGTTGGTTGTTAACAGTAAAACCCCACAGGCAAGAGCAGAGCAGAATGGAGAGCAAAGACAAAAATGAACTGCTCCATTGGGAGCAAAAAAGAAACAGCGTTCGTGTTTCAATGATTATGGATTATGCGGCAGCAGCGGCAAACAATTCATTCGCTTTTTAGCAGTGGCGGTGATATGCAGCAAATTTTCGCTTCTATTAACGCGCGTTTAACCCGTTCGAAAACGCAACAAAGTCACAAATAATAAACACAAAATAATAAAAAATAAAAGAAAACATATTTTGTCGTTTCAATTTGGCGGTGTATGTACAAATGTTTGTGAGTGTGTTCAAGGGAACAATCAACTGCAAACGCACCAATTTAAAACGCGTCCAAATACCTCTCTCTCTCTCTCTTCTTCTTCGCCGGATATAAGTGTGACTGAGGCCATTCGCGCGTTGTTATGTGTTTGTTTGTATGTGTCCATGTGCTTAAACAAAATAAATGCGAAATTTATGTAAACAGATTTCAAAAAGGAAGTCATGTTTTTTAAAAAAAAGTTAAATAAATTAATTACTTAAAACAAAATATTTTATGAAAATCAAAATTGCATTGAAATTTTACAGATCCTGCATTAAAACATAGAATTATTCTTTGAATATCAAAGGAAACAGCTGCAAAAGTAGTTACGTAAATAAATCGTTTCTTACAAAACAAGTTACGCCCCAGCTAAAATCAATGAGAAAAAAGCAAATAAAACAACAGAAAAATACATCTGAGAATCGTGAAGCCAATGTTCTTGGAGAAAAAAGAAAACAACAATTATTTAGTGTTTAATTAAATATTATTGCAAGAAAAAATTAACATATGCTTAAGGAATAATAAAAGCCCGATCTGGAATTCCATTTCACCGGAGTACCCATTATGAAATAAAGAAAAGGTAATTTAGTGTTCAATATTTCAGCAGTTTTATATCGGCAATTCCATAAAATCAAAAAATACTATAATCTCAACAACATTATGCAAGTGATTTTGGTGTTATAAAAAAAATTCTGATAGGATTGCGTGAATTGAAATTGAAAACAGCAACAAAAACAACAACAACAACAGAACCCAAGCCAAACAACTCAGCACAACAGAGTGTTACAAATACAGCCAACCACCAACCCTCATTTAATTGCGTTTGGCGAGAGAGCGAGAGTACGTTTTGCGAGAGCCAAATCTTGTTTATAACAGAATAATGTTGTTACAGTGCTGTGCAAAATTTCTTCAGTTACAGTGCAAAATGAGAACCACCGCTACAGGTTGTTCTAACACATGGAGAGTATATTAACTTCGTCATTCCGCTTGTAACTCCACGAAATACTCACATCAGACCCAACAAAGTGTATATATTCTTGGTCACCGTAGAATTCTAAGTCAATTTAGCAATGTTCGTCTGTCTGTCTGTCTGTCACGCTATCTTTCGAAGGAATTGAGATTGAAGGCTAAAATGTGTATTTTGTCAGTAGCCTGGTTAAGTTCGAAAATGGGTCATACCGTTTTCGTATAGCCCCATATAACGGTACCTCTAGTTACAGGGTGAGATAAAAAAGTGCAACAAAATCAATCGCTAAAATTTTTATATTTTTTCTTTTTAATTTTATTGAATGAAAGCAAAATAATGTCGGAAATAGCATCAAGTTTTGGAATAAGTTTAGATTTGTTCGAATTGGTCACTTAAACGCCGCTCGAATGTTGCTCTGCGGTATTTTGGCCAATTCCCGGCGAAGCGCTTGCTTGAATTGCAAATATTGCGTAAGCAGGCTCTCGTATATACCAAATATAAAAGATTTTTTAAATAGAATCAAGACTGTCAAATTAGATAAACATCGGTTCAGATATACCTATTTCTCCCATGTAAATATATGTTTCATTCAGCCCAAATAGTATGGAATTTTGCATCTACTGGAAAAAAGTATGTCAAATTTGATAGAAATCGGTTCAGATATAGCTATAGCTTCTATATATATCGATCATCCGATTTGATATTTTTGTCCTCCGCAGCCGTAATATTCAATCTGTAACAATGATATTTGAGGAAATATATCAAGTACAGCGCAGAAATACCTTTCTCAAATTATACCGACATCGGTTCAGGTTTGGATATAGCTCCCGTATCATCGTCCGATTTGCCTTTTATTGTGCAACAAGCGTGTAATATTAGCCCAAATGGGACGAAATTTGGTACTTACCACAAAATTGAGCATAGAAACAAGTATGTCAAATTTGGTAAAATGGGTTCAGATATAGCTAAAGCTCCCATATATATTGTTCATCCGATTTGTTATATTTTTTATTTGTTGTGTGGCCCACCAAATAAGCAAAGGAGTATAGGGTATCATCGCCCGACTTTTAGTCTTTCTATACCGGTTTATACCTTATTTATTATGGCTTAATATACCGTTATGACCCCACATTCTGTTTGAACCAAATCCCTTTTCTGAACATTTATCCATATGGCTAAAGCACATAATCCATTTCATCATCGTTATGTCTCATCAGACTTACATCTACGTTACAGATGAGCCATATCGATAAATAAAATAAAATTCTTATATTTCTATTTACAATAAATCTAGAGAAAAGTCAACAGTTTGGAGAATAAGAGCCCCAAAAATGTCGATTTTGGGACTGATTTCCATCCAGAGTAAATAGGTTATATTTGCCCACAAGTTCAAAAATTAAAATTTCAAAGTTTATTGATCGTAATTTTAGTATAACGTTTAAGGCAATTTGTGAAAAGGGTTACATCGGTCCACACCGTCCCGTAGCCTCCACAACATTTCAACGTGTTTTTTTAAGCCCGATAGAACTTGCAATTGTAAAAAATAACACAAAAAATTAAATATTAATCAATTTTTTTTATTTGAAAGATCCATACGTGACATTAACATTTGAAAATGATTTCGGGCATATGGGCACCGCGATTGTTCTTGACGAAGTGCATTCTGGAAGTCCAATTTTTGGCCACATTTTCGAGCACTGCTGCCCGTATGTCACGAATAACACGAACAATGCTGGCCTTCAAGGCGTCAATTGTTGCTGGTTTATCAGCATAACCCAGTGAGTTCACGTAGCCCCACCGGAAATAATCGAGAGGTGTCAAATCGCACGACCTTGGAGGCCAATTGACAGGTCCAATTCTTGAAATCAACTTATCGCCAAATTTTGATTTCCACATCTCCTCCGGATCAATGTCATCTAATTTTTAAACAAGAAATTATTGATCATGGTGCGATAACGATCTCCATTAACCGTAACGCGAGCTCCGGCCTCATTTTTGAAGAAATAAGGTCCGATTGTGGATTGGTCTCACTCCATATGCGGCAATTTTGCTTATTTACAAACCCGTTAAGCCAAAAATGCGCCTCATCGCTGAACACAATTTTGTGATAAAACAACGGGTCAATTGCCAACTGCTCTAGAGCCTGATTGTACTGTAAATTTGGATAATTTCGTAGCGTTGTTCAAGCGTGAGTCTATTCATGATGATTTGTCAGAGTATACTGCAACAAATAAAAAAAGTTTCATCAATATTTAATTTTTTGTGTTACTTTTTCTACCCTCCACCATACTATGGAGGGTATATGAATTTTGTCATTCCGTTTGTAACTCCTCGAAATACTCTATTGATCGAAATACTATTCTTGTTCAGCGTAAAATTCTAAGACGATTTAGCCATGTCCGTCTGTCTGTCTGTGTGTCTGTCTGTCTGTCCGTCTGTCTGTCTGTTGTAATCACGCTATCTTTCGAACAAATTGAGATAGAAGGCTAAAATTTTGCACATATGTATATTTTGCCAGTAGGCAGGTTAAGTTCGTAAATGGGTCATGTAGGTCCAAGTTTTCATATAGCCCCCATATAACGGTACCTCTCGATATTCGGTATTTTGATGATTTTAGCGACATTATTCACCGGAATTGTTTCAAATTTGGCATTTGAAGTTCGTAATAGATACTGCAGCAGAAAACAGAAAATGGGCCATGTAGGTCCACGTCTTCGTATAGCCCCCATATACCGTACCCCCCATATTCGGTATTTTGATGATTTTAGCGACATTATTTAACGGAACCGTTCCAAATTTGGTATCTGAAGTTCGTAATAGATACTGCAGCAGAAAACAGAAAATGGACCATGTAGGTCCACGTCTTCGTATAGGCCCCATATACCGTAACCCCCGATATTCGGTATTTTGACGATTTTAGCGACATTATTTACCGGGATTGTTTCAAATTTCGCATTTGAAGTTCGTAATGGATACTTCAGCCCATGCCAGAAAATTGTCTGTGCAGGTTCACGTCTTCGTATAGCCCCCATATAACGGTACCCCCTATATTCGGTATTTTCATGATTTTAGCTACATTATAAACAAATTTTTCTTCAAGTTTCGCATTTAAATGTTGTAATAACTTATGACAAAAGTTGCCTATGCAGGTATACGTCGTCGTATAGACATTTGGTATTTTTAAGATTTTAACAGAATTTTTAAAGGATTTATTTAATTTTATTTATTTATTTATTTTATTTTTTTTTTTTGGAAATTGCCAAATTTGTACCAAATGGTGGAGGGTATTAAAAGTTCGGCCCGGCCGAACTTACAGCTTTTTTACTTGTCACAATTTAAAGTTCTATCTGACTTGAAAAAACACCCTTTAAATATCGTAACCGGTGACCAGACTGTTTTTCAAACTTCGCACACTCAAACATTTCAGTTCATATTATATCTAAAGTTCATATATTATATATAAATATGTAGTTATTATTGGTGAATTTGTGTTGTCCAACAATAAAATATATATAAATTTGTTTTATATTTTGAATCCACTATTCCACCGACTAGACCCTTATGATTTGTAGTTAAAACCCCTCTTCGTATTTGTGTTATGTTTTCACTCGTTTCCCAACACCGAATGTCGTACTCACAACCTTCGGTTTGGTAGTTGGCCGACGCTACTCATTATTTGGTAATAAGATAAGTAAGTTCTTTTTCTTTATACCTTCTAACGGAATATGCCATTATTTTGAACCTACTGGTAATACAGTGGTATTACATTACTTTTGAATTGGTTATTCGGTTAATAAAACTTCCCAGTTTTTGTTGGGTAACGCCACATCATATGTTTATAACGTTTTTAGTTGTTATATAAATAGTTACAAACAAAATTTTACTCGCCAGTGTAAGAAACACATACATATTTCATTTGTTTAAATAACATGTTTACTCGTGTCCGATACTTGTACTCAATGACAACACTTGGGCAGATGTCAAATTCACAACTATTTGGACAAAACGGAGAGCATGTTTTTAATGCAAAAATGAAAACAAAGAAAATGAGAAGAGATTAAATCTAATATTATTCTCTGACATGGTATGTTTGTATTTGAAATCTCTTGCGAAAACTCTCTGTGGTTTTTCTTCCCTCTCTTTCTCTTTTGCCGTAAGAGTCTGTCTCTTTGTTGTTTACGGCCACACCACATGAATTAAGTAGTGATTATGAAACACATCAAATGTGTTATATGAATGTACGACTCATAACTTTTTTTTTGCATTTGGCATTATGTGAGTATCCAGAGTGTTGCGGCGTGCTGTAGATATGTAGGTACATATCTATGTGGGTAGGTATGTCAATGTGTTGGCGGCGCCGAGTATCCATGATTGTGTGTCACCGGTCGTAACAATGGGGGGAGTAGCTAAGTTTTGTTTTTACAAATAAACAGCATTAAGACGAAGGCTAACCAGAGAATTGTGTAGGCATCAACGTTTTACGTTTTCATTCAGAAATTGCAAATGGCATTGCTGAGCTGCTTGATAGTTTGCTTGTTTAGCTGTTTGTCTGTCTGTCTGTATGTCTTCTTCCTTGTATTTTGATTGCGACCAAGTCATTGTAGCGTTTTACA